GTCATCCAGCATCTTCTAACGTCTTCTTCCTCGTCTTCTGGTCACTTCTATCCGCCCTCTATCTTTCCTTCAATAACTTCTTTTAGAAGGCAGTTACCGCGTAAGATATGATCAATCCAATTACCCTTCCGTTTTCTTATTTCGTGTAGGATATTCCTCTGCTCACTGACTCTAAATAACACTTCTTCATTTCTCACATAATCGGTCCAACTGATCTTCTCCATCCTTCTCCAACACCACATTTCGAAGCTTTCCAGGTGTTTTCCATTAATTTAGACGAGACAATAGCAATACTCTTCACCTGATGTTCACATAGGCGTCTATCTAATTCATGTTATTCAACAATTCAGTACCTTGGCCAAGAAAAGTGAAATATCTTGAATTACTTTTGACACAAATCACCTCTGAAATGAACATGTAAACAAAATAGCCAATAACAGATTGTGAAGAGTTTCAGATCTGTACCCCCTTCTCGGATACCACAACACCCTCTTACTCGGCCTTCCAGCTCCAGCTGTAGATGACGTCAATTAGCCCTGATATCTACTATTACTGCGAAATCTGGACGTATACACACAGATTTTGAACACAAATACGTCAGATGAAACAGACGTTTAAGGATAACTGAAAAATATACAAGAACAACAAATGTTAACTCCTTACATGCAAATTTCTCAGTTCTTTTATTTGGTGAATACCTCTTGCTTCTAGCCACAAATACGCATTAAAGACTTAACTTACAATCCAATGAGGTACTAAGACAGCTGTGTCTCGAATCTATTCAACAGAGCTCTGTTAACATGCATGAGAAACCTCTGGCTATATTTTGCAAGGAAATGAGGAGATACTCCATAGGGTACCCAAAATGACAACAGAAATATGTTGACATAAAATAAAAGAACATTTGGAAGGGAGACAATAAAGGCAAATCAAATTGATGAAAGACATAATTCCTTCATTTGAAGGAGAAAGCTTTAGATCGCATCAAGTGGAGGAATTGTTTTGGAAGAGACTGTGGACCTGTCGTCTTGACAGATTACAGATGAAAGAATGAAACTCTGTACAATTACGCCTACAAACCCTTTAAAGACTGAATTTCTTCCAAATGGTATACAAAAATTCAGTTCGTACCTCACAGGAAACACATTACGTCTCGTAGATTCTAAAGGTTTCTAGCTATGATGTATGCGAGCACCAGTGGTTGTGTAGACGCCACCGTCCCTGACATTTCTTCACAGATATCCTCTAGTTTCGATGTGGTCACTTTTTGGAGTGCGATTGCTCCACGTGTTTTAATCTCGTTGGACCACTTTTGTACGCATTCTGACCATAAAGAATTTATACTGGATACGCCTTCCCGAACTTCTCCATTCATTCATCGAAAAACGAGGTTGAGTGGTTAGCATTCCTGCTTCGTGCTTTGGAGGTCCTGGGTATGAATCTTAGTCCGGGGACTGGATATCCTAACCGACAATCTTCTCGGTGTTACTCAGTTCTTCCAGGAAAATTTTGGGGTTGTACCTTAAAATAGACAAAGATCAATTTTTCTGTATCAATTCTTCGTTGTGTTTCATTCCCAACACAAGCATTAGAATCTCATTCACATTTCACTGTGTATAATGAGTTTATTCGTTTAATAGTATGGTAATACGGTACATGTTTCGGCTTATAAAGCCATCATCAGGTAGTATACATCAACAAATATTTTCAAACAACTGAATTGCGCTTTACATAATTCATATATTACAAAGAAATAACTATTACTAATGTACTGAATTTCCACTCAGTTAATACATTCGGTTTACTTCTGAATTAGTGCAAAATTCATAAATTGGAATGAAGGTTCTACATTCAATTGGATGCTTAAATATGTACATAAATATATATAATAAAATAAAAATGATTTTAAAGATGAAATGTATTACGTTGTTATGGCCAATTAAAACATTTAGGCAATGAGTTAAAATTATTATATTTATGGAACTTGTTCTGTATCATTTACATTCAGTCGCCCTACGATTTAATGCTCTATATGATAATTCAAAACCCGTTGATTACTAAGTGAAGAAGCATAACAATCAGATAAATGATATGGCTTCACAGAATGACGTGTTGGTTTTGGGGTATGATTGTACTTGTGTGTCCAGTCGCGCTGTTATCGTGTTTAGGCTACCTGGTTCGAATGTAGCCCGGAGATGCTACCTTCTATATCTTGTATCTTGGTTTATCTAACGACGCTTTGTCAGCTGAAAAGGTTAAGTAACATCGATTGAAGCTGCAGAATGATTAATGAATGAACTAGAAGAAGGTTTGAGAATCGATCTTGATCTGTTTTTTATCCCAAAACTTGCCTTGCAGGTGTGAGGAAAATGCTACCCTGACTCAGAGCCGAAAATCAGACCTCAGAATTCCAGACTACAGAGTGTTGAAAGCTAACTAATATCATGAAACTTATGATCGGCAACATTTCAACGCGATATGTAAAACAAGTTCACTGTCTCTCTTGTCCTTTCTACTTCACTATTCACGATCATCTACTATTCGCCACTCGACGTTGCATTTTTATGGTATCTTGGATTATGTCGATATGTAACTCACGAAATCAGGCAATGAAACACAGCTGACTTGCACCTTCAGGGTCAGGGATAAGCCTATTACTAGAGCGGAGTCAAGGCCCTTGCACTTGTTCTTTCATTCAAGCGAAATGCGTAGTGAGGAACCCATTCATAGTCAATGTCCGTGGTCCTTTATGCAGAGTGGTGGGTCAGAGGTCAAGGTCTCTGTGAAACTTTTGAATGCAGGCTACAACTGAATTAACATCGAAGAATGCGTCTGCGTTAACTTAGTATTCTCTTGCGAATTTAAGGCTTACGAGGGCCAAAGAATTTTTAAACAGTTGTAACACTTCTAAATGCACGCAATTAAGGTCAATGCAATGGTATTCTATCCACAATCACAGGCACCGGGCCAGATGTGTGACTGGAGTTAAAGGCTTGTTCTACTCCTGTACTGTGGCGGAAGTAGTAAACCAGCGATCAGTAGACACGAAGTTCTGTCGAAGATCTCCACCTGAAACATGAAATACGTCTCACAAGAAACTAATTTTCTGTACAATTTTCCAGTTTAAAACGAAGGCAATATTTTATTTCGAAACGTTAGTATTTAGTTCCAAGACTATATATACGGTGTCACAATCTGAAATAATGTTCTGTCCCAGCTTTATTAAGAGACAAATGGCGTTTGCATATATAACGGCTATTATTGAGCAGCCCAGCAGCGTGTTCCTGTTTTCAAGTTGCCGCATGGCAGCCCCGGGATGTGCTGATTTTTAACACCGGAAGTCAGTGGAGCAAGCACACATGAGGACGCCAGAAATGTTATATTGCACAATGAATTACTCATGGAAATAGGCAGCTCGTGAGTCCAAACTGTAGATTAGCGGTTGTGTATGGGTATGTGTGTAAGGGATGGGCCATAAAATGCGGCCCTCGCACTGCGACCTTCAATGAACTATTGTGCCTCTCCTTTGGATTAACCTTTATTGATCCTACAATTCGAATGAAATGGAGGACTTTATTTATGGGGGCGTCATAAAAGTCACTTGGTGCCTTGAAGAACTGACCCTAGTTGACGAAATCGTAAGTAAGCTATGGCCTCACAATCACATAGGATATGTGTGGCTCATTCATCTTCGTGTAGGCACCCTTCACATTTTGGGTCACCTGTTAGTCCCAATTTGAAAAGCAGATCAGCGATTAATATTAAAACTATATTTCGAGTTCTGTATGGGTCATGAAATTGTAAATTGCATTTAACTGTGCTTACTCTCAATGTTTTCTACAATTGTACATAACAGTTTTTTTTACTGGTATTTCCGATATTTTCTGTAGTCCAAGGTTTTCTAAAGCCCAGTACTTCGGAAACCAGTTTCGTTTCCTTCTTCAGGTGACATGATGTAAGATATTCTATTCCGTTTGGCCCTTTGAAAGACTTGGTCTCAAACTCGGCTGCTTTGATTTGCTTTGAGATTAGATCTCTCAGAGATATAACACAGTATGATTCCTAATTTTAGCCTATCATCTGAAAATAACCAATTTCCATAACATTATTGTTTTAAAAATATGGGACGATGGATAATGACCAAAGCATTTGTCAGAAATACTGCTTTTACTGGTTCAGAACGGGATTCTGTAGAGGACTTATATGGTGATGAAATATCAGAGTTTCTTGAAGAGCTGAGTACATAAAAACTGTCCATGATGTGTATGTACTGACCGTCTTCTAGTGCGCACAANTTAGTTAGTTAGTTATTGGAGAGGGTGGGTTTCCCCATGCATTTACACCAATATTGGTCCATTGTGCTTCTCTCTATGATATTCTACCAGTCTCTATACCTACCGATA